AAACAGATGATAGCGCTACCTGTGGCTGGCCCATGGCCGCGTTCGACTGCATCATACGACCTTGCGAATTGACCATTGGCTGCTGCATCATTCCGACTGCATTAGACGGGTACTGCTGAGCAGCGGTTGCATAAGCTCCATTCTAAACGTTAGCCATCGAAGTGATATTAAGTAAGATTTAATATTAATGAAACAAATACCTGGTTTCCGGGGGGATAAGAAGGAAACTGCGTCTGGTCAATGGCGACCGCGGTGGCCGTCGCCGTAGCAGTGGCTACAGCGGCTGCGGCCACTTGAGCTGCATTAATAGCCGCCTGCGGCGGAGGGGCAGTCTGGTACTCTCCTGCATTCGGACCGTTGTGGTATGCGGAACGGGCGTATTCGGGTGCATAAGAGCCATCCGAGTAGTAGCCTCCTGCCTTGGGGTTTTGTGTAAGCGCAGAGCAGACGCCGTAGTCAGAGTTGGCGCCGTTCACATCGCCATACATCGGCATCGTACCAGCGTTATAGCTGTGAGGACCAGTACTAAAGCCAGGAAGTCCGGAATAAACCGTTGTGAATACTGACACCGAGCCATGGGTCGGGGGCACATTGCCAGAACCGTTGTTTGGCCAAACTATATCGCTGAAAAAATGAATGGCATTACGGAATCATAAGTAAGCAAATTTTGTACGACAGGTAACAAAAAATGTCAAGAGTTTGCACAAGCAAGTTTTAGCAAAATACTAAAAACTTTTTTCTCCCCACTTCAATCTCACCGTCTTCGTCATGCATATGGCGGCTAAAGAAACGGATCACTTAGACGAAGAACACTAGAGCATATGTAACTTTGCCCAGCGGCTTTTCGTAAGCCCCGAAACGTTCGAATGATCAGGAAATGGTAGTCAGGGATTGACAAACATCATACACATACCTTTAAGGCAAATTTGTCTAAAACACAGTGTACGGATACCCAAACGGAACGATTTGGAACCACTGTCACAACTGCTTTCTGATGCATGGTAAAACCTCACCACTCTGGATGTTTAGCTTCTAAACAGCGAATAATGATTCAGTGGGTGAGGGAAATAAAAGACCGACGATCCGCGGATGAAATCAAAGCTATAATAACCTGATGGTTAATATAAGAAAATGCAGTGCGAAAAATCTCATTTAAATTTGTGAATCACACAGCCATTTTATGAGTAAATGGTAGTATTTACAGCCGTTGCTCCACAGTAGTACATAAATTTTCATTATAAGCAAAAGCTAAAAAAAACACCATAGGAATAGAAAGAAGAATGTTTATAACCAATGCAATTTGGGTTTTCGTTACACTTACACAATGGTGCCTATTCCAGCCAACTTTTGTTTTCATGAAGTTAACCGTGGGGACGTTGATCTCCATTTCTACGGCATCAACCAGTGCCTAATTTTTAACGGTAGAATCGACAGCAGCTGTGACATGCATAGCATATATTGTCTTGTTTCCTTCCCCTTCATTTATGGATCGCAAGAGGAAGATAAAATGAATAATCCCAACCGAACAATCGAGGTATGAAGCAAACGGTGGCCGATTCTTCATTAGACGGCACTCATGGTACAGACAATGATTGCCCGTTGTAGGAATCAAACTCTGCAACTCCAGAGTTCGATTTCGAAACAGACCTTTAACGCACTGCGCCATCACGCTACGTCGTAGGCAGTAGCGTGAATAAGTATAGCAAAATACTTTAATATGACAGTGGAAAGTCACTCATAACTTGGGTTATTGTGTCTTCCATTTTGTACATACATTGTCTGTAAAAATGATGAATCGCTGACCATTGTAGTGGTAAGACGAATGACTGGTTGTTCAGAGAATGCAGATGAATGACGACCGTTTTACACAGCAAGAAGACTTAGACACTGGTAAGTCTTTCAAACGGTTTTCCATCATAAAGATACTCGTGAGACAATGACGATCAGTGAGAAGTGAAAAACAACGACCACTGGCACAACCAATAGATAGGGCTTGCGCAGAAAACATTGAAACCCACCGACATAAACCATGATGGGACCGCTGACCCAGCGTTTGTAAGTCGATCACATACTATTTACTGGAACTACGTTAACTTGCCTACCACTAACAATACCGTGGCATCAGTTTGGGTGAGAAATGTTCTGCAGGCTTAATTAAAGGCCTGTGAATTGACTTCTGTCAGTATCACTAAGTCGGAAAATCGTTCCTCGAAAGCTTATGTTCATTCTGGTGCTAGCAGATCAAAAATAACAGATCTTCAGTTTCAACGTGAGGTCACAAACTCAATATCCATCCATCATCAAGTTTAACTTTCTGAAAAGCTTCGATATCCCTAGTTATGATTTGCATTTTGCTTTCCACAGGTTAAGCCAGTCTGACCACTGAAGCAGCACACTACTTGTAACAAATTCATTGTCTGTATGCTGGTATTTCATTTTAATGAGCAAGTAAGTGCGTGATCAAAAACTGACAAGACAGTATAGTGGTGTAGCATGGAGTCCTTCTAAGTTATCCAAAAAATACAAAGTGCTTTCATCTGTGTCGTTAGTTGCGAGGCAACGCTACTTGAAAAACAGCCCCATCAATTTGAAAAGATCCTCCTTCCACAGGTAATTGGTCTGGTCTTCGCTGTTTGTTCGTTTGACTTTCGTTTATGTCAAATTATTTTTACTACTGCTCAAAATAATTAAAACCATTTGCTTAAATAACACTGACACAAAACGCACAAAAGAAAACTTCTATCGTCCATAAACAAGCAGCTCTTTAAAGAGACTAGGATAGTCTCATTATGTTCTCTAGAATGAATATACGTAGATCCTCTGATAACAGGACAAGAACGATTGCAAAAATGAGAACGAATTGGACAATGAGGGATGATGAGCAAGAAGGGCAATGTAACCAAGATAAAAAAAATTATCCACCTTACAATGATATTCTGAGTTAGTCTCTCTGAAATTCCCTGACAAGACTACAGTCGAGGAACTGCAACATCTGGCATCATATTTTAGATCACGCCAGGCAAGTATTAATGCAGTGTAGTCAAGACACGTAGGCGACGAGTTCTATATAAACCGAGTCCATCGATCATACATTCCTTAACTACAGTAAGCTAGATTGTCAGGGGCCACCAGGTGAGGATAATCAACTCATTCCTATCCAACGAAGGCTCTCAGTCACGAACTGCGAGGCGACGACTATCGATATGGCTTAAAAAGAATGAGGCGACCGAAAACTGTGGAGGTATGCTTCATCGTGCTATGAACATTGCCCAGGAATCGGAAAAAACGACTGAAACAAACAATGGAAACGCTCGTTTCTTCCTCCTTTAAAGTAGCCATTATATTTGTTTAAGCCAACGAAGCTAGCATTGCAATAAAAATTACCAACAAACTGGAAACATCATTCGATTCGCGTCACAGCTGAAGATTACGCCCTGCAAGTCATGGACGCCACGTCTGATTTTTAAGCACTGTTACAGCGCTAAGCATACGATGTTAAGCTCTGGTAAACTTGTTTTACTTTTGTAGGTTGGAAGTTCAAAAGAAAACAAGAAGAGGAAATCATGAAGCGATTTTAAAACACCCTAACGCAGGGTCTTCACGCCTGTTCGTACCTAAATGGGTTGCCAAACCGCTTTAGGTAAGTAGTAGTAATAGTAGAAGGATTCTCGACAACGCAGCATTTCATCAAATAAGACTGTTTCTCACAAGTGGCATTAACGGCACAATAGATTCCAAGTTCGTAATAACAATGGATGATTTGAACGTCTATTTATAGGTATCACATATGACGGGATAGACTGCAGCCACTAAATGCTAAGAATCATTGTTCGACTAAAACTAAGGCACTTTTCAACCTCATATGCACAATATTGTCCTATCATAAGCTGGTCCTAAGCTCGAGTAGGTCAAGTAACTAATGACGCCTTCAAAATTAGATTTCACGGCGTAAAGCACGGTTCCCATGTTCAAAGTGGCATAGAACGGCGAAACTTAAGCAGGACATGGCTCCGAAGTACTTCGGAGGGTTCCGTGACTCTAGTGGATAAACTGATATGATATGCACCTGGTATGGCAAGTGCCCAAAAGTACCACGAAGTCACCCCCCTCCCACCCACCACCACCACCATAGGCAACTAAAAGCAAGAGGGCGATGCAATACGCCGTGAAATATGGCCTTCTACTAGTCACCTATTGTTTAATATTGTCTTATATGCAAAACTGGTTATCAGGAGAAGTCAGATACTAACGTTTTTATGTCTCCAAAACCCTGTTTAAAGAACACGCTCCTAGAATTTTCGGTGCAGGGGGGGGGTAACACCCGTTCCGTCCCTTTTCGCGCCAAAGCCGAAAAGCCCAGATTTCATAAGTTCTTCTTTCTTATTCTGAAGTACTGTCGCGTGCCACGGTTGATTAACGCCTTAAGTTGGACCGAAACTGCAATACTTGCATTTTGTCTTTACATGCAGGAGTGCAAATAACAAGTGAGTATTTTCTAAGATTTCTCCTAGTACTCTTTAACGTAAATGGCATGTCTTTCAGAGAAATTTTCAACAAAACGAAGCAAAAGTTTGAAATGAGATTAGCTGCGAAACTTATCGCGATAAATATTTTTTACTTGTTTAAATAATTTAGAATGAACCAATGACTACGCGATTACCGTTGAATCTAAAAGTGGCAAGATGCGCTACGATACTGCATACAGTGATTGTGTACTACCTGTAAAATAAGTAACACTTTGTGTATTTTCACCGTTTAGACGACGAACCTCGATAGTACCAGACGGTATGAAAGGACAAATGATAGGGATTGCTAAAGGGTGTAGAGGGCAGATTAAATTTACCTTTAAATAAGGAATGACAAACAAATTAAACACAATGTCGAGATAACCAAGTACCAGAGACCGTCGTGGCGCACCAG